ATCTTCACCAATCCTACAAACCCTTAAAAAGTTAAAAGTTTGAAGAAAGTTGGAAGTTTAGAAAAAAAGTTAGAAGTTTATGTGTGTAGAAAAGTTTTTGATGTGATATGATGTGATGGAAAGTTGGGAATATGGGGGAAACTAAATACGGCCTAACAAGTATGGCACACACACGCTTTATTTTTACCTTTTTTCTTCTTTTTATTCTGTCTTTCATTCTCCTTTTCTATTTCTTTGCTTCTATGTTCTTCCTCAAGCGAGCCTTCCTTGAGCTCAAGTTGTTGCCATTGAGCTCATGGTGGGCTGGTGGGCATAGTCGTGCACTCACACTAAGCAACTATCGTTAAGCTTTCCATGGCTGCTGTAACATCCCGGCCCAGGGCTTAATAGGATTAATATAAGACTTGTGCACACGAGTGAGGACAAAGTGTGCAGAAAAGACTTGTGTTGGTCTGTGAGGGCAGTCTATGACCTATGAAAGCTGCCAGATGTAAGCGGACCACTTCTTTTCTGGAAGCCGATGTCCAAAGAACTTTAGGGTTAAGCGTGCTTGGCCTGGAGCAATTTGGGATGGGTGACCGACCGGAAAATTCTTCCCAGGTGCACACGAGTGAGGACAAAGTGTGCATGAAAGCTGCCAGATGTAAGCGGGCCCAGCTTGGGAGAGGCGGGACGTTACAGCTGCGATGCTTAAGCGTCCCTATCGGCCGCCACCATCGAGCTCGTCCTACCCTTGGTCACCACCACTCCTCTACCATCACTGAGCTCCTATGCATCCACGGCCAAAACAAAAACCCTATCCTTACGTATCTCCTCTTTCACCAACCGAAACCCACCCTAGCCTCCATTGCTTCAGTCACCGCCATTAAACAATATTAGATCGAAATCCTAATTCTTCGCCAGCACAAAATGACTAAATTCATTAGTGTTGCTTCTCATGTTCCAAAATTAAACATGTATACGAGTTCATTGTACCCGGTAATCATTTCGCCTCTCCTATCCTTGGGTGATCACTAGCATAGTTCACCATCACGACAAGCAACCATAATGCTCAAGTGTGGAGATTGGGGGCGAGGCGAACTCGACAGTGATGGTTGGGGACAAGAGCTCGAGCATCCTGATCATGGGATGCTCAACGGGGGTCATGGCAAGCTAGACAGCGGAAAGCTCAAACTCAAGAAGAAGAGAGAAAAAAAGAGAAAGGAAAAGGAAAAAGAAAAGAAAAATCTTTTATAGGTGGCCCACTTATCCTTTGACGTAGAATTGGTGAAGGTGCCATATCAGCATCAATGCGACATGTCATATCGGATTTTGGTCTAATATTAATACATTTAGTAAGTTAGGCGGGATTAAATGTGTGCCTTTTAAGTTTATGGACCTAAATAATGGCTACTTACAAAACCATGGCTTGCAGGTGTATGTTACTCAAAAATTTATTTCAAGCGGTTATCAGTTATAACTGGTTAACTGGAATAAGCTTGGTGTGCAAGACTACATGAATTCAATATCGGTGACATCAAGACCTTATATTGACATTATAATTGAAATTAAGATACTGTGAAATTTAGACAGCGACATCGTAAAGCGATGGTTCGATTTCTGGACAGATACGTGGAAAATTTATAGGTTAAAAACTGGGGAACTAATGGTGTGCCGCTAGCCTTGCCTACCATTTAGCAGTAGTACATAGCTTCAGACCCTGTTTAGATGGGAATAAAACATTTAAGTCCCTATCACATCGGATGTTTGGACACTAATTATAAATATTAAGACTATTAATAAAACCTATCAATAATCTTGGACTAATTCACGAGACGAATATATTGAGCCTAATTAATTCATGATTAGCCTATGTGATGTTATAGTAAACATTCTCTAATTATGGATTAATTAGGCTTAAAAGATTTGTCTCATGAATTAGTTTTTATTTATATAATTAGTTTTGTAAGTAGTCTATATTTAATACTCTAAATTAGTGCTAAATATAGGGACTAAAGTTTTCAGGGATGCTGTTTGCCCGTGATGTGGTACAGTTAAGCATCAATTGGTACTACTACTACTCGCATCAATTGGACTTGTATTCTCGCATCAACAAACTTCCACCGAGTTGTGTCGGAGATGCCGCCCAGAGATGATTCGGTGGAGCACCGAAGTGGTGGACACTCTTGTCCAATCCCGTCGTCGCCGTTATCTGCTCATTTGTTTACTCCTTCCAGGGCGTCGTTATCGTAGGCTGCCAAAGTGCTGACGTGCCAAAGCGCCTCTTTTTTCAACGCGATCGTCTACGGCGTGGCTACAATGTACTCCCTTTTAGAGAGCGACACGGTCTCTAAAACACAAATTTGACTTTTTATTTCTATAAAAATATTTATTTAAAAGTGATATATGTATATTTTGATGAAAATATTTTTCAAGTCAAATCTATCATATAATTTTTATATTTTTAAACTCAACAACTTAAGAGTTATTCATGATTTATATTCCCAAAGTTTGACTTAAATATTGTCCTAAACGATTTCTTTTATAAGTACGGAGGGAGTATGGAGTGCTTCCTCTATTGTTCCTAAATACTCCGTCTCCGTGTAAATATTTTTAATTTAGGTTGTGTTTAGTTCATATCAAAATTGGAAATTTAGTTGAAATTGAAACGATGTGATGTAAAAGTTAGAAGTTTACGTGTGTACGAAAGTTTTGATGTGATAGAAAAGTTGGAAGTTTGAATAAAAAGTTTGGAACTAAACAATGCCTTATTTAGCAAAGATTACAAATAAGGAAACAGATTCCATCCAAATCATCTCATTGGTCAAATGTTAGATTCTTTTATATTCCCCTCTTAAATACACCCTTTCCGTCTAAAAATAACACGTTTTAGTTATATGTTTTTGCACACACCTTCAAACACAATATTTAATTGGTTGAAAATGCTTGTATTTTTTCTTCTTGAGCATTTTCTTGAAACTGAGAGTAGAGTACAGTTTTGCTCTGCGGGCCCGTTTAGCATAACTTCAACTGTTAGGTGGTGTTTGGATCACATGAACTAATTTTAGCCCCTGTCACATTGGATGTTGGGACACTAATTAGAAGTATTAAACATAGATTAATGATAAAACTTACTACCTCCGTACCAAAATATAGTTATTTCTAGCACAGTAGCTTATCTTAAAATGAAGTTATTTTTCCACCTACCACCTTCTCTCAACCAATCACAACCATTCTCCTTCACCTAGTACTTCCTCTTTTCAACCAATCACACACTTCCTCTAATCATTCGCACCTACTTTCTTAATACCCATGCCGACCTAAAAATACTAACATTTTGGGACGGAGGGAGTATTCTATAACCCTGGACTAATTCGCGAGACAAATCTATTGTGCCTAATTAATCCATGATTAGACTATGTGATGCTACAGCAAACATATACTAATTATGGATTAAAAAAATGTCTCACGAATTAGCTCTCATCTATGTAATTAGTTTTATAATTAGTCTATGTTTAATAATCCAAATTAGCATCAAACATCCAATGTGACAGGGACTAAAGTTTCGTCCCTAGATCCTTGGACTAAATTAGTTGTACCTCTTCTGAAGTTGGAGTACAACAGAACTATTTCAGCTCTATCCAAAAAAGGTGAAGCGGACTAAAGTGTTATCACAAAATGAATAAGGTGAAACTGGGTTTAGATAACTTTACAATTTCACTTCAGACCTAACTTTAAAGTTAAATTTAGAAGTTGAATACCTTAAAAAAAAGACCGTGTATTTCAGGCCGAGTTTAGATCCAAAGTTTTTCTTCAAACTTTCAACTTTTTTCATCACATCAAAACTTTCCTATACACATAAACTTTCAACTTTTCCATCGCATCGTTCCAATTTCAACCAAACTTTCAATTTTGGCGTGAACTAAAAACACCCTCAGCACGGTTGGTCGCAGAGTTTAAACAGCTGCGAGGAGGTGCAAAGAATCCAGGTGCACTGCAGCGAGTGCCATCAAAGCGAGAGGGGTCCGGTGTCCCGCCTCCCCATGCTAGATCGACAGGTCACAGGTCAAGGCCTAAATTTCCGGAGGGATCCCACGCAGCCACTCCCCTCCCCCCTCCCGTTCCCGTCGGCGCCATATCCGCCCATACGTTCACCGCAGAATCATCCATCCACCACCACACCTTCCCCTTTCAAATCCCCCATCTCCCCCATGCCCCCAAACCAACCAACCAAAACCAACCCCTCTACCTCCTCACCACCGCGGCGTGAATCCGTGACAAATGCCGTGAACCAACCCCACCCAACCCAACCGCATCGCACGCACCAGTCGCGTAGCGTTATGAGGATGAGGCCCCCACGAACCGAACCGAAAACCACCTCATCTCAGCTCAGGGGCGCCGGCACGGACGGACGGACGGCCGCGATCCACCGGCGTGTGTCCCCCTGGACCACCCGGCACCGCCCGATCGTGACGTCGCGGAGAGCCAAAGTAGGAAATGGACTCCACCTCTCGGCGCGGGGGTCGGGGTGGAACTTCCACAAAGCCACGCGCGACGCGCGGCCGCACCGCACCGATAGGTCAGTGCTGCTGCTGCTGCTATACTGCTATATATATATATATATATATACCAAAGCGAAGGTCAGGAAAAGAATTGCTCTACAGCGGCGCGGGAGGGGAGGGGAGAAAGAGCGGGGAGGAGGAGGGCAAGCAAGGGATCTCGCAGTGTAGACGAGCCTGGTGGGAGGGAGGAGGGAGAGGGAGAGTGACAGTTGAGACTTGAGAGAGAGAGAGAAGAGAGGCAGATTGGGAGCAGTTGGCGCGTCGCCGTCGCGCGCCACCATCCCCACCCTGCGCCGCGTGCTGCAGCGCTCGCCTTTATTACGCCCCCGCCCCGCAGAGCTCGCCTGGGCGAGCGAGCAGGCAAGCGGCGCTCTTCGTCTGCGCACACTGGGGCGGCGAGCGGAGCTGATCTCTCGGCTTTAGGTTTTGTTCAGGTACACGGGAAATATCTCATCCTTTTTGTTTCGTCGCCGCCGCCGCAAGTGGCGTCGGCTCTGTTTGTGACCGGGGGGGAAGGGGCTGATTAGATTTGTCCCGGGGTTTCGCTGGATCGATCATTGTTTTGAGATTTTTTTTTTGCTTTTTTTTGGGGGATTTTGGCTGCTGGTTTTGATCCTTTCTATTGGTGCGTGATGCGGGATGAGTGTTGTTGCGGTTATTCTTCAACGGATTGGTGAATTCGTAGTGGTATATTTGGATGCTTCCCTTTCACGCAAGCGCGTTTGTGGGGCAAGCCTTTTTTTTTTTGCTTCAGCACGGCGACGGCTAGCTTTGAGCCTTGAGTAGTTTTGCTATTATGCCACCGCCGCCACGCTTTTGCTGATAATTGGTAGCGCTAGCCGCCAGGTGAATCGCGGCTGATTGATTTCATGCTTTGTTCCTCTGATTACGATCTTGCTCTGTTGCATGCTGTCTTGATTAAACCGAATTCTAGTGTAAAAAGGAATCACTTTTGCTTGGAAGATTAATCTACTAGAGTTAGTGTTTGAGTTTATCTCCTACTCTGGTTGTGCCATTGTCATTAACAATTGATAGATTTGTCTGTTGCTTTGCTTTGATTCCTCTAGAACACTTTAAAATACTTTATTTAAAGTGTTCCTTTATTGATACTGTATTGAATCATATAATTCAGTAGTATAGTAGATTATTCTCTTTGGTCTGCAAAGAGACAACGCATTATGCTAGTATTTAGGTATTCCCGTGTTATGATCTGTCGTACCATCAGCTCATTTATTGCCGGTTGGTACGCATCACTTGAGCGTTTTCGTCTGTTCTTGTTATTCTTGGTTTCTTCCGGGTACTGACCGCGGTTTGTACCAGAGGACACCGAATATTGGCTGGTGGTCCACGCCAAGGCAAAGATGTCGGTAGCCAAGAAGGAAGAGGTACATGAAGTTTCCTCCTTGGAGGTCCATTCTAGTGGGCTGGATGTCTCTTTCTGCATTTGTATAAAAATTCTGGATGTTGTATGAGCAGGTTTGCAGTCATCGGCTCGGGCCGCGATTGGATGAGCCGGCGGTCGGCGTGCCCATTAAGAAAAGGCCAGTTTTGTTGTCTGATAGATTGCTTCCGTCTGGAATGCCGCCCTCGATGAGACCATCGTCTCCGGCAACGGGGATGGCCGTTTCAGTTGCAGAGGCAGGATGCAGCAAGGACACTTTCTTGAACAGATCTGTATCAGAAGAAACAAGTGCAATCACAAAAGGTAATGGGATGTTTAATCCCCAGGATCAAAGGCATGCCAAGAGGTCATTCATTCAATCTTTGACCGAGAAAAAAGGGCTGTCACTTGATGGATCAAGTGGAATCCCTTCTCGCATAGAGAGTGGTACAGGTAATGTTGCTCCCGTTGATGATACTCAGAGTCAGAAGTTTTTGAGTTTGGGTTTGCGTTCAGCATCTCGTCTGAATGGTAAGATCAATTCTAGTTCCAATGTCAAGGAAGAGAAAGTTGATCAGGGTCTTTCTAGCTTTCCATCAGCAGATTTTCAGAAGGATGCTGGAGCAACAAATGAACCCAAATCATCTTCTGACAGTAGCTTTGGGCGACTACCGAATTTGGATCTTAATGTGCCATTGGACCCTCATGATCTTGCTGAAAGTTTGCCTATAGTGCAAGATTCCAGTAATATACTCTACCATGAAACTGTTCAGCTTCAGAAAGCACATGTTCCCCCAGTGCCCCCAGTTTCTACAGTGAGCAATGGACTGCATCGAAACATTGCCAGTACTTTGAACCTTTCCAATGCATATGGACTTTCTAATAAGCGTGGGGCAGCTGATGTTACCTTAGACTTGCAACTTAAACCACCAGCTAGACCTGAGCTAGGCATAAACTGGAAAGGACTTGCTCCTGTTCCAGGACTAAGTCTCTCTCTGTCTAGTAAGCATGTTGAAGAGTCTGAGAACAATGCTGGATTAAATCTCTCTCTATTTGGTAAGCACATTAATGAGTCTGAGAACAATGCTCCTAATGTTGCAGTTAGATCTGAACCTACTGTAAGTGCCAAAAAGATCACCAGGGAAGTTGGTATACCAAGGACAGATAAATCACCAGTTGAGGAGGTTGTCAAATTGGTGCCCTTGAATGAAAACCCTCATAAAACTATATCATCAAGTGTGGCTAGAATTTAGAGCATGGCATCTGGTTGTTTGGTGAAGAAAGAGCCTGAAGAACAGTCTCAACGACATGTTCAGAATGATGTAGAAAAAGAACAACCATTAGAATCACAAAGTGTTGGACTAGCTAACAATCGCGCTGAAATTGAAAAGCCTAACGGTGCCCACCAAGTTCCTGGAAAAGCTGCCCTTGATTTGAATTCTGGAATCTTTCCAAATGTAGCAACTGCTAACGTTCCACTATCAACTGAAAGATTGCGTGATGCCATCCGCACTGAGGCCATGCATGCTGACCATGAAGTTAAGAAATCTATCAAGTGTGAGGAAACAACTGCTGCAATCCCAAGTCCTGCAACTGCATCAGTAAGTAGTCGCTGCTCACCACTGATGGCCACAAAGCAATTGCCTTTGGGAGACCGTGATGCTAGCCGCGCTGGATTACGTGTATCAGCCAGCCAGCCCTCATTGCCTACTGAACCTGCATGCTGTAATCCTGATGAGGCTAATGTTGATTGCAAACCAACAATGAGTCATGTGAATTCTCGCAATGCTGTTGAAGTTTGTGGTTCATTGCAAAGTTCCTCGAATCCTATACCTGAACCATCGATTTCCAATTCTCGGAATCGTTTTGGGTTTGATGGTATGTCACAAGGGAGTGCTGAAATGGACTGTTCAGAAGATGATGACAATATTGTATCACATCTATCTACTACCAATAAACCTCATGGAGGGACACTAGGGAACAATCAAACCTCTGACAGTATGGGTTCGGGTAGAAATCTACAGAAGGAACATGACAGTAATACACATCAGAATTGCTCATTTGTGACAAATAAGATCGACATGCAAGGTATTAGTGATGACAAGCGTATTAATGTTAAAGATGGTGTTTTCCCTCATTCATGTCAGAACAGTCATCAAAGTGGCAATGTTGTCAATGAAGAGTCCAAAAATAAACAACTATTGGGATCAGATAAGAATACTCCAATGAATAACAACGACAGTACCATACGTGTTAAGACCATCACAGGCTCAAGTACAGCAGATACCCGAAGGTTATCATCTTTGGAAACATCCACTTCCCCTAAAATTGAATCCATTATGGAACCTTATAAGGAATCAGGCAGCTGCCTTGAGAAGAGTACAACTCCTAAAATAAAGTCAAAAGGGTGTCAATCTCCACTTGGTAAGCAAGCTGCTAATTGTAGCGAGGACCATGCGGAAAATGCTGCTGTGAAGATTGAGCATTAGACAGTAAGTGAAGAGGTTGCCAAAGTCTTAGAATTGCACCCAAGGGATTCTGTCCTAGGTGAAGATTCTCATCCTGATGGCGCTTCAAGCAGTCAACTGCACGATGAGTGTGGAATGGTAAAGTCGGCATCTGAGAGGTCAGAATGTGATAAATCCAAACCTGACTCTTGTAGGACAACTTCTGTACAGAATGAAAGAGATGGTCAGGTTGACGACCCACATTGGAGAGGGATGGGGCATCCTTATGTCAATGTCAATAGGTATGATTCTTGTTGTTTTGTTTCTTTTGTGGGATGCTGCAGTAAGCGGGACTGGGTTTCCTCATCCATATGGTAACTATCTGTTAGGTATTGTATTTGGCTGGAGTTACAAAGTCTTTGTTTTCTTCTCCTCTTTGTGCTTATTTTACAGGAATGAAACATGGGAGAGGCTTATGCAGTCTAAGAGAGAGAAGAACAAAGGAGAGTACCATGGTGGCAGGCATGCGCCTGATACATTCAATCAACGAAGGCCAGATTACCGTTATGGTGGACGTGGTGTTGGATCCCGTGGTAATCCAAGGAACTTCCGGGGTCCAAGAATGAATGAATCTGAACTTTACTTTGACGATGAACCTATGGCCCGCAGAAGGCGCCCCTTTGAAGATTACCTAGGGCACATGCAGCGAATTCCACATAGGCGACACCGCTCCTCGCCAATGAACAATCAGTTGCAGGGCGGTTTGATGAGAGATATGGACATTGATGGTTTCTCTGGAAGAGATGTTCCAGACCCTAGGCTGCTGGCACATGAGCATATGGAAGATCTATCTGATGACATGATGGAGGAGAGGTTTTATGTACCACATTCCCGTCGGCATCATATACAAGGTGACCATGCATTCATTCACAGAAACAAGAGCCATTCACCTGGGTAGAGAAGGGGTGCACCTATGCATTTACATAGAGGATGGTCTCCTGAAACAATGGGCAGATCACCACCATTAATCAGAACTGACAGACCATACTTACCTCATCGACACCACACCCGCCGCCATGGTTCGCCCTTTGACCGAATTGAGCATGATGACAGAGGTATGCAAAGAAACATGAGAAGGTGTGGCATGCATCATGGAGGTGTAGAAGGAGACTCCTTCGAGCCACATCTACATCCTGCTCAATTAGCCGAACTACATGCAAAAGCTGAACTTACCGAGAGAAGGAAGTTTGGCGAGAGGAGAGGCCATCATCTCCGACCCTTTGAAGGCAGCCCCGATGACGACGAGGTCATACTTTCCTACGGCGCGGATGGTGACATGGACTTCGCCGAAGGTGGCAGCGGTGGTCTGCCGCCAGGAGAGCTCGACGGCCGCTTCAGGAGGCACATGGGGAGGGATGAGGAAGAAGAAGACCACATGTGTCATGGACCTCATGGGTGGCGCGATGGCAGCTCTAATGGCAGCAGGGCAAAGAGGAGGAGGTACTGACCTAGTCGCACAACTGTGACAGCTGCGAGCCTATCTAAACTAATGCATAGTGGCGTTTTTTGGTTGGCTGGTTCATGCATCACCGACTCACCGATTCTCTTAACCAAACCTTGCTATAGGTTTGCAAGCATGTCTCCTTCAATATTTATGGCTTGTTTCTTTCATTCTTTCCTCATGGAAGTACGCTACCCTGCAGCTTAACACCCACAAGGCTGTCTGAAGTACTACTATATTTACACTATATATCTCAATAAGGTGATATTAGCATGTGGACATGGTCACATGGAGGTGAAACTGACATTTCAGGACAAATCAAAGTAAACGTGGACTTGTCTTTGCCCCTCTAGCTTGCCTTTTTTGCTTGGTAAATCAAATTAATTTGAGGAAGGAGAAGAATATCCGGGTCACAAAGCTGCTTTGCATGCCATTGGCTGGTAGGGTCCTTTTGTATTGAAGTGAGCTGTCTCCTCAAAGTTTGCTTTGATCTGATCTAGAATGAAGATGGGATAGTGGGGTTATACGGAGTACTCTTACCTAGTAGCTTTGGTGTTTTGGCTATATGCTTTCTTGGACTAGATATTTGTTTCTTTATCGGACAGGCATGGCCAAGGGGCAATTTAATTTGCGCCTTGTAATAAATTATTGCTTGGCATCTTTTCGTAGTGTGTGGACAAAGGTACGCAAGTTGTGAAGTTTTGACAAGGACGACATGGCCCGGGATGTGTCACATGAGCAATACCTGCCATACCTTGGTCGTAGGAGCTAATAGGAAGCAGCCTTGAAGCATAGCGCCTCCGGTTGGTGAAGTCAAGTCGTCGGGTCAAGTGTTAAGAAATTTAAGCACGACGCTTTTCATTGGCTAGTCTGAGTCGGCGCTGCCTGATGTGCCTTCTTGCCGCCTTCTTCGTGCTGGTCCAATGAGATGCAAAAATCAGCAAATGTAAACAGTTTCCGCCCTGTACGGATAGCGGTATATCGCCCACTGGTATAGGTAATAGATGGGGGCAAAGAAGTTGTGCGAGCTCCAGCACGAGGAATCAATCGTGGTTGGTACGAGGAAACGAGGCAGGTAATGGCATAATTGGGCCTCGATCTCATCCTGATGCTAACTCCACGCGAATTCACATCTTGGCATCTCAGAATTTGAGAATTAGGTTCCTCAATTATGTATAAAGGAAGGCAGTTCTTATCACAAACAAGGGCGTAATATGAAGAGTACAGAAAGGATTTCTCTTTTTCACACATGGTTAACCAAATTTCGGTGGAGTATTTCACAGCGCGGTTTGTCGATACCGTACCGTAACTCGAGGAAAAAGAAACCACCCTACCAAAAGCCAAAATACCACGAAGTGAAGTGCCCATTCATTCACCAGTCTGTCGTCGGCATTACGGGACTGGCGCTGATCTGCTCCTTATTATACTTACGAACACGACGGACGACGCTGGTCCGGCAGCAGAAGCATACAATTGTTGCGCTGAAGATTTCCCTTCCAGAACCAAATGTGGGCAAGCAGCCTGCAGCATACGCAGCAACATGAGGCACAATCATGATACTATTGAAAATTTCCAAACTCAATGAATTAGGGCGAGGAAATAAAAATTAGTCCACGTCTAACGGCACGTCTCAATGTGCTCTGGCTGGCAGGCGACGTACTTGTGCGGAGGGAGGACTGAGGAAAGGGATTGATTCTGTAATCCGTTGGTAAGTCTTGCCGAAATTTTGTCTTCCTCAACTACAGCCAGAGTTTGATTTCGGAAATGCTCTTTGCCGCTCGCCCGATGCGGGGGAGCCGGATCAGGCGCTCCCCCCGCGCCCCCTCCCCCACGTGTCTACTTGGGCCCACCCACTTCTGCTCCCCTTTTTTCTACAAAAGATGTTTCACCTAGTGTATTTACAATGTTTCACTATTTATAGATCTAATGTTGCAGTGAATTAAAATTCTCTTTTGCAAAAAAAAACCCACATATTTTGGAAACTCTATATTAAGGGAATTTGGTTTATTTTTTGTTCCACCTAAAATGTTTCACCTAGTGTACTCACAATTTTTCACTATGTATAGATCTAATGTTACACTTAACGAAACATTTCATTGCAACAAAAAGCCCACATATTTTGGAAACCCCCTATTAAGGGAATTTGGTTTATTTTTTGTTCCACTGAAAAATGTTTTACCTAGTGTACTCACAATGTTTCACTATGTATAGATCTAATGTTGCAGTGAACTGAAACATTTTTTCGCTATTTGCTGAAATATTGTTTTTATACAAGGTGAAACAACACCCGATTTAAACAAGTGAAACATTTTTGATCTACTTAGTGAAACAATTCTGATATATCTGGTGAAACATCGTGCAACATTTAAAAATAATTCAATAATAAGCTAAAAAAAATTTCGTCGGAATATATCCATGTGTGGTCTTGTTTTGAAGATTTAATTGCAACGAATTTAATGGTGCAATCGGATCATGATTTGGATAAGTAATTTAAGAGATAAATTAGTTTAAAGTAATTTTGCACGTAAATTGGACGCTAACGTCAGCGCCCGATTTTACCCCTCCCGATCGGGCGCCCAACCGGGAGTCATCCCCGTTTGATTTGGGTCCCTTACCCACAAATCCTTTCTTTCTATGTAGTTGGAACCCCCTTAGTGCAATTACTACTATAAAGCAGCCACCAGGTTAAGCCACGTCATCACAATTATCTCAGCTATTAGATATAATCTAGATGCTAAACGATTATCGAACCAGCCCCCTTCTCTCTGAATCCTACAAATTCTTAGTGGATCCAATCCCCTTCACAGCTAGCCTGCCGCATCTACTTCTCCCATTACGATAAGCAATTGTGCAGCAGAAACTGCCTCCAATAATTATAGCAGCGAGACCAAACGTCATGGTTAATCAGATTTATTCTCTTCCAAAGCATCTTTAAAATCCTCCTGCAGCCACACATACCAGCGCTCTCTTTTGCAGACCAACCGGCCCCCATATTTGATCATCAGATATTGCATGGTGAGTGATATATTTGCTATCATTTTTTTCTTATTACATCTCCATATTAATTTACAAGTATTATCTTTTTTTCCCAAGGGCAATAGCTTTTTCTATCAACTAGGTGATAAGTGAATAAGTGATAACATATTTGATTTGATGATTTGATCGGTTCATTTGACTCTGACTTTTGATTCGATGCTGATCTTGAAAGTAATTTTGTACAACCTCCAGATTATATTGCCTTCCGTTGTTCTATCAACCGCAGGATAGCTTTTTGATGATTTGATCAGTTTAAGTCCTTTCTTTATTTCACTCTGATTTAAATATTAATGGTTCTTGGGCAGGTATAGAAATACGATATGGGCATATGGGTGTGCTCCAAGAAGGATGAGTCAATGATGAATGTGCTAATTCAAGGACAAATTTGTAGCAGATTATAGAACATCGAAGGATGCTTATATACAATGATTGGAATGATATGTTGTCAATGGTCTACAGTTTTCTTTCCGGAAAATCTATGCACGCCATCAATTAGCTATACTGCTTAGTTGTTCGTCTGTTTTGCATGTGAAATTTTCATAGTTTCAAATTGGAATTCATAAGTATCCTAGCAGTTGCTTATATTTGTAGTGCTGTGTATTTATTCGTAAACTACAATTGTTATCATCTTTTTCAGACTTTTCCCTTGCACATTGTAGGCATTGTTGCTAAGAGCTGACTGTTAAATAAGAACAGTTCCTTCCCTTTTTTTTTCTTAACCAGTCAATGAATCGAAAGTTTACGGTATGTCCTATGATTGATACGATGGGTGATTCTACCTATACAACAAGAATAGCCATATTTCTTGGATTTATATTCTATCTGGACAATTGTATCTCCACTATATAGGCATTGCCCTGAAACAATTAGTCATCACCAATTTGAATTAATGCTATTATGTACACACCCATGATTCATGAACAAAACCAAAAGTTGTCTGGTTTTATTGACTTTTATCTCAATCTTTCACCCATTCTTCAGTTGTATTTTTCATTTCTCGCGGCAACACGTGGGGTATCATCTAGTTAGATATATGATCCTTGACTATTAAAACTAGTCTATTTTCCTATAAAAATTGGTCTATTTTGCATTCCAGAGTGGTTTGGATAACAATTTTATCGTACGTGATGTGATCTTTATTCAACATGACGCCTACGTGGTGCTTATGTGGTATTGCACTTAAGAAAAAGTAAAGTAAAAATAATTATAGGTGTCGAATGTCAGTAACCCTTTGTCTGCTCTTTGTATAGTTTATATCCTAGGACCTATTTAGGGAGCTTTAGATTTTAATAAGTAGCTAGTGGCACTCCGCTGATGGATTTTGGTTTTGGCTTCTAGTTTTTTTTTATTCTAAAACTATAATAACTTTTTAGAATCTACGTGAAAGACTCGACTGTTTGGAATTGTTTTTGATTATGAGAGAACCTGCAGTCTGCAGTTGTCAGAAGGACACCAAACATTGTCAGAAGGACACCAAACAAGTCCCTTGAATTTTCTCTCCTCCTGTGTCCACGGAATCATTTTTTCCAGGCAACTACCACGACAGTTGATGGAGGAGACGATGGCATGGTGGAGGACCCAAGCAAAGCAGGAAGCCCGGTGCCCATTGCGGCGGTGCGCAGTGGAGCCATAGATTCAAGACGGTTGGTGGCGGCGGCGGCGAAGATGGCTCCTCGACGACAGTCACTTCCACGCTCATTGGTTCTTCGCAAAGTAATGACACTCGACTACTTGATGACGATGAGGCAGAGCTCCTTGCCACCAGCCTTACTCTCCTACCCTCTCCACCCTCCGCGCCACCAACCTTCCTACCATCGACGGAAACGAGCGGACTCCAGCACAATGCGAGGCAGTGCCTGGCGATGATGGTGATGAAGAAGAAGATGCGTGAGGGGAGGAACTTGCGACGACCACAGCGAAGGCCTGAGTCCTAGTGGCGGCCTGGCGGGACCCATCCTAGGGAAGAGGAGGAAGGGTTGCTTCCCGCCATTCCCCCTAGCCATGGCATCACGGCAAGCTTGCGCCATGTCCATGCGGGAGCCACTCCACCACCTCCTTTGCCAAAGATTTCCATTGACAAAGCAAGCCGCAGTCGCTTCCCCACCATTCGTCACGGCCTTAGAGCAAGTTAGGAGGCCTTTGGCCGGCCGCTTCATCGTTACCATTGGACCCGCATGCCTTGGGCCAGAATAGAGTCCAAGCTATGTGACGATGTCTGGATTCTAGCCGTGGTTGCCCTCATCCTCAAGCCTTCGCAATCGTTAGCGCTCACTCGCTCAGCTTCCTTGAGTTTGAGGAATATAAGAGCATGGGAGTAGGATCAAAGGAGAGGTTTTACTGTCGTGTGGGGGCACTATTTTTTTTTGTCCAAATACAATATCACATAAGCGCTGCATCAACCAAAACCACTCGCAAAATGAGAGAGAGAGAGATCACGGGAGCACGTATTCTGGGTTTTTTAGTTGGATTGGACTTATAGTTGAGGGGAATAAGTTCACTTTAGGTCTCTCTATTTGTCGCCCAGTCTAATTTTCGTCCCTGAACCCCAAACGGGTACGACCAGTCCCTCAACTTACGAAAACCGCGCACATAAGGTCCTAAGGCGGTTTGGATAGCTATTTTGGCTGATGTGACGCCTACGTGGCTGGTTTGACTAGGTCTCCATCCCACGTGGCATTGACGTGGCGCCTACGTGACAATTATATCTCGGAAAAATAATGAAAACCATGGGCCCACATGTCAGCTACACACAAAAAAAATGGCGGGACCTACATGTCAGCTACACAACAAAATAAATATGGTGGGGCCCACGTGCAGTGGCGTAGCCAGCTAGGTGACACCGTGGTCCATAGACCACCTAAAAATTTAAAATTATAGTATATGTGTTAGTTAATATAATAAAAATTGTACAGTGGACCACCCTTTTAATTGGCATATCTATCTATCTATCTATTATTATATTATTAAAACAGCTTTGAAAGAAGTCACCACGTTCGCTGTGGTGGCTAGAAATTCCCACATTAATCGGAGAAAAAGAAAAAAAGAGTCCAAGTAGAAATACAATTTAAAAATAGCTGAAATTCGGAATAAAATTAAGCAATATTGAAAGAAGAGTCCATATAATAACCCAATGTGAGATTAATTAATATTCGAAATAAAAAAATAAAATCTGAAATCTCTATCTCTTCTCTACTACTTTAAAAAATAGAAATATTTCCTTCATCCGTTTAAATGAAAAAAGCGAAAAAAAAGAAAGTCTGATTCCCCTTGGAAAAAAAAAAGATCCGATCACTTAAAAAAGGAAAACCAAAAAAGTGAGATTAATTAATATTCGAAATAAAAAAAATAAAATCCAAAATCTCTATCTCTTCTCTACTACTGAAAAAATAGAAACATTTCCTTCATCCGTTTAAATGAAAAAAGCAAAAAAAAGAAAGTCTGATTCCCCTTGGAAAAAAAAAGATCCGATCACTTAAAAAGGAAAACCAAAAAAGTCCGAGAAAAAATACCGTTAAAATAAAAAACGAAAAAAAAATAAAAATAAAAGTCCGATTCCCCTGGCAAAAAAATCTGATCACTTAAAAAGGAAAAAAACAAAAATTCTGAGAAAAAATAGTGAAAAAAACAACTTAAAAAAATGTCCGATTCAAAAGTGGCGAAAAAACAAAAAATAAAACCGTAGATCAGTTTCCCCTAAAAAGGGGTACGGTTCCTGTACAAGGAGGAAAAAAAAAGTGGCGGACAAATAAAAAAATTTGCGAAAAAACACCCAAATATGGCCGTCCGATTCACTGTTCATAAAAATAAAAAACGCATGAGAAAAAAAAAGTAAAAAGGTGGAAAAAAACGCGGCAAAAAAAAGTCAAATTTCTATTCGTTTTAGCAGTCCGTATATATCTTTTCTCTATCTCGAATCTAATTTAATCAAACTATTTAAAAAGAAAAGTTTTCATCGTACAACAAAAAAGAAAAAAACGCGTGAGAAAAAAAACAAAAAAAACATGTGAGACAAAATGTCAGAAAAAACCAAAAGAAACGCTTAAAAAAGGTTTCCATCGTCTATAAAAAATTAGAAAAGCGCGCGAGAAAAAAATATTTCCATCGTCCGTAAAAAATAAAAAAAACCATGCGAGGAAAAAACTATTAGAAAAACATGCCATTTCTAAAAAAAATGGTTTGAAAAAACCGCTCAAGAAAAAAGGTAAAGCACCATTTATAAAAAAAAGGTTACTCTGAAAAACTGTGAGAAAAAAAATACTAAATTGATCTATGCTTGGGTTGGATAGCATCCATCGATTTTGTTCATCTCCTACAGAGCTTTTGTTTCGCCATCTATTTTCCTATATTGGAAAAAGCAAAAAAAAACACCTAGAAAAAACACGCGAGGGAAAAAATGTTAGAAAAAACAAGCAAAAAAACGAGCGAGAAAAAAAGCAAAAAGAAAACATGCTAGGAAAAAACTGTCAGAAAGATTCATAAAAAACAAGCCGCTCTGAAAAAATATTAGAAAAAACACTGTTTATAAAAAAAACCAGGATCTAAAACAATAGGATTCAACGCGAGAAAAAACCATTGTTTCTAAAAACAGTTTGAGAAAACTGTCTGACTCAACGCGAGAAAAAAAAACACCATTTCTAAAAAAGGGTTAGCGAAAACTATCCTACTCAACATGAGAAAAAAAATGTCGTTTGTAATAAGAACCGCTCCTAAAAACCGTCCAACTCAACGCGAGATAAAATTGTTGGACGCTTGGGTTGGATAGGATCCATTGATTTTTTTTCCCATCTCCTTCATGGCTTTTGTTTCCCAATCTATTCTCCAGTATTGAAAACCATGAACGTCTCTATATGCAATTATCAGATTATTTTTGTTAAGTATAGCTATTATTCTTGATAACATAGATATAAAAATAATATTAAAAATAAACATATTTTAAATTGTTATTTAGAGAAGAGTGCACAATAACTCTATTTTGTGTAGACTTGACCATGCAAGGCAGTGCATGATTTGATTGATCATGTTACTATTTGCACGAATGAGATTCGCTGTGGAGGCTAGAAATTCCCACATTAATCGGAGAAAAATAAAAGAAGAGTCCAAGTAAAAATGCAATCTAAAAATATCTGAAATTCGGAATTAAAAATAAGCAATATTGAAAGAGGAGTCCATATAAGACCATAATACGAGATTAATCAAAATTCAAAATAAAAATAAAATAAAATCCAAAATTAGAAAATAAAAGGAGAGTCCAAGTAGGAATATATTTTAAAAATAACTGAAATTCAGAATTAAAAATAAGGAATATTGAGAGAAAAGTCCATATAAGAACCCAATACGCGATTAATCAAAATTCGAAATAAAAATAAAATAAAATCCGAAATTAGAAAATAAAAGGAGAGTCCAAGTAGGAATATATTTTAAAAATAACTGAAATTCAGAATTAAAAGTAAGGAATATTGAGATAAGAGTCCATATAAGAACCCAATACGAGATTAGTTAATATTCGGAATAAAAATAAAAATAAAATCCATAATTAGCAAAAAGAAAAGAAGACTTCAACTGAAATTCGAAATTAAAAAAAAGCAATATTGAAAGAAGAATTCATATAAGAACCCAATACGAGATTAATTAAAATTCAGAAAAAATAAAATGATATCCAAAATTAGAAAAACCAAAAGAGAGTTCAAGTAGGAATACAATTTTGAAACAACTGAAATTCAAAAAATAAAAAATAAAAATATTAAAAGAACACTATACGGTATTAATTAAAATTTGAAAAAAAAAATAAATTCTGAAATTAGAAAAATAAAAAAGATTTCAATTAGGAATACAATTTATAAACAACAGAAATTGATGATAAAAAAAAGACTATTGAAAAAAAAGACTATCTAAACACATGACAAGATAAATTAAGTAACAAGCCTATAAAAGGGTATATGACAAGATAAATTAAGTAACAAGCCTATAAAAGGGTAGAGTGGTGGCGGTTGATACGACATATAAAAACTATTAGTAAAACACCAAATATAATCGTAATGATGATTAAAAGGAGGACGACAAGCAGGCCGTAAAGCAAACGGGCAAGGCGGTTGCCGGGACTTCTAGAAAGTAAAAAAAACCCATTGATAATCATATTCGATTTTTAAAATCTCAATGACAATAAAAAGGAGAAGTAGCGTGCGGGTGTATAGGACTTCTAGAAAATAAAAAATAAATTCTAACGATAGTTATATTCGATTTTTAGAATCCCAATGACAATAAAGAATAGGCCGTAAAGGAGTATAGTGGCATCGTTTGACATGACTTCTAAATATTATAAAAAAGAAACCCAACAAGACAATAAATTCTAAAAACTACAAGGTCCAATTTTTAAAGGTTCGAAACTTCTAAAAAGTAAAAAAAAACAATGATAATGATGTTTGATTTTAAAATCTCAATTACAATAAAGAATGGAGGCAACGGATGAGCCATAAAGGAGTACAATGGCAAAGCCGCTAACGGTTTAGTGGAACTTATAGAAAGTAAAAAATGAACCCGAACGATAATTATGTTCGATTTGTAAAATTCCAATGACAATAAAGATAAAAGACAGTGGTTGGGCCGTAGAGGAGTATAATGTTAGTGTTTGATGGGACTTCTAGAAATTATAAAAACGAAACCCAACGAGATAATAAACTCAAAAAACTATAAGATATAATTTTTAATGGTTTCAAGGAAAATGTACAAGGAAACAGATCACCAGCAGATTAAACAGAGTATCTACAAGGAAACAGATCACCAGCAGATTAAATAGTATTTTGTGAAAGTGAAACGAGTTTAGCACTGTGCATTTACTATTTTGGATGCTAATTTGCATCAACTTATGAATTATTGGGTTCATCATGAAGGACAACCAACCAGCCCAGTCTTGCATGATGCAAGCTATGACTGTAGTGAGTCTGTGAGTTAAAGACTACAGAGTATTAGAATTGAGCTTATGGCACTAGGGTAACTTTATTGGTGTTAGGAAACGAATGATAAAGAAACGATAAAAAACAATAGATAAATCATAGAAGACACAAGATTTAACGTGAAAAATCCTCTCAAAGTAGGAGAGAAAAAACCACGGGCGCCAACGAGCAATCTATCCAGGATAGCCCACTGGCACTCCCTAAATTCTGACATGTGGGCCCATTATTCATCCCCTCTTTAAATAGGTGTGCAGGGTCTGAAATTTGAATTAGAAATAGCCAGGGTTTGTGAATATGAGTATTTCTTTTCTATTTTTAGTGGTAAACCGAGCAAACAAATAAAGAAGGATATGATAGAAGTAAGAGGTAGTAGCTGGTGTGACTTTTAGAAACTATATAATTAGAAATATGGGGATAGCTATTTAATAAATCTTAAGTAAAATCATACTTAAAAATATATGATTTTGTTTGGGTGCTAACCGCGTAAATACGTGGGCCACCCAGCTAGTTACATATAGATGCACCATCTTTACTTTAAATTCTAGCTACGCCACTACCACGTGGGCCTCGCATTTCATTCCCTCTCCCCTCTCGGCTGTCCCTCTTCCTCGTCGCGCCGTCACCTCGCGCCGCGGCGTCGCCTACAGCCGGCAGAGCGGCGGCAGGAGCATGCCGGAGGGGCGGGCGGAGCGGCGGGGCGGCGGCAGGCCGTGGGATGCTCCTCTTCCTCGAACAGTGCCACTGCGCTCGCATGTCGGCGCCGACCGCCTGCATGCCCACGGCGTTGGCTGCCCATGGCACTAGCTGCCCGCCTCGCCACCGATCCGGCCAGCCATCGCATGGCTGGAGGAGCCGCGCCGCCCGAGCAGCCGCGAGCGCCACCCCATGGCGATCGGTGCCATAGGAAGAACACAACTGAGAAAAGAAGAAAAGAAAGGAAAATTGAAAATAGAAAATAAATGGAGAAGACGACGCCGGCCGCACCGCCGAGGCCGCGACCCGCGCTGGGGCCGGCGCCGCCGCATGGCCACGCTCGCACCGAGCCGCCACTCAGCCGCCGTCACTCGGCTGAGCTCCTCCGCATCGGCCCCGCTGCCCGGCCGCACCGCTGATGCCGTGACCCACGATGTGCCCTCGCCGGGGTCGGTGCCGCCACACGACCACGCTCGCGCCGAGCAACCCCTCAACCGTGCCCCGCCGCATCGGCGCCGCCGTCGCTCGGCTGAGCTCCTCCGCATCGGCACCGTGGCCTGGCCGCATCGCCGCCGCGGACGCTGAGAGGGAGGGAGAGAAAGAGAGGGGGAAGGAGAGGATGTATTGACAAGTGGGCCCCACCTCTTTTTTTTTCCTTGACATGTGGGGCCCTGGCATTTTTAATTTTTTTTGTAGCTGATAGGTGGATCATGGTTTTTATTATTTTTCCAAGATATAATTGCCATGTAAGCGCTATGTCAATGCCACGTGGGACGGAGACCTAGTCAAACCAGCCACGTAGGCGCCACGTCAGCCAAAACCGCCGAGGGACCTTGTTTGCGCCGGTTTTGACAGTTCAGGGACCGGTTGTATTTGCTTTTGGAGTTCAAGGACGAAAATCGGATTCGGTGTAAAATTAAGGAACCTTAGATGAACTTATTCCTAGTTGAGGGAAGTAAAATAGACTTCCTCCAAGTCTCGTTGACTTGGTGAAATTACAATGCAGGCCATATCGCCGAACGAAAGCCCACGTTTACTCTCCATCAATTCCTTGTGTAAATGGGCCGTATTTTGGATCGATAAGCGATTTCCTTTAGGAATAAGTTCTTCTGAGTTCCCTTAACTTGTCAACGAATCCGATTTTCATCCCTCCACCCGAAAACTAGATACAATGGGTCCCTTAATTGTTAAAACCGGTGCAATAAAGGCCTTAACTTGTCAACGAATCCGATTTTCATCCCTCCACCCGAAAATAAGATACAATGGGTCCCTTAATTGTTAAAACCGGTGCAATAAAGGTCTCATAGTGGTTTGGACGGTGGTGACGTGGCACCTACGTGGCTTATTTGACTTAGTCTTCATCTGATGTGGCGCTTAGGTGGCAATTTGATCCGAAAAAATAATAACAATAATAAAAATGGTGGGGCCCACGTGGGCCCATCCTGTCAGTCTCAATCCCCTCCTCTTCTTCCTCCTCTCCCCATCTCACCATCATCACCTCTCTCTTCTTTCCTCCCTCCTCTCACCGGCAGAGATGCGGACAGCGTGGAGGCGCAGCCTTCTCCATTCCCGCCCCCATGGGCCTACCGTCGGCGGCCGCCGCCCCTCTCCTCGTCGCCCACCGTGCCTGCCTCTGCCACCTCCGGATGTTCCCACTGCTCGTCATCTGAAGTCGAGCCACGGCGAGGGAGGAAGAAGCATCTAGAGGCGCACGGACCTCACCTTCCTCCCATGGCGCCGCCCTTGGCCGCCGCCACCGCCGTGACCGTATCCTACTCTTCCCCTCTCTTCTCCTCCTATTCGTCCCGCCCCTCCCCCGCCGCCATCTGCCCCCGAGCTCCATCTCCCTCCGGCAGCGGCGCCGCTCGACCACCACGGCCTCCTCCTCCGCCACCACTGTCGCCGACGTTGAGTCCGCCGGGTCCCGGGAGGCCTCTTCTCGGGGCCCTCTGCCACCGCCGTCACCGTATCCTCCTCTCCCCCTCTCTTCTCCTCCTCTTCGTCCCGCCCCCTCCCCCGCCGCCATCTGCCCCCGAGCTCCATCTCCCTCCGGCCGCGGTGCCGCTCGACCGTCACGGCCTCCTCCTCCGCCGCTGCCGCCACCGAGTCCGCGTCTCTGCCATCCGGCGCCTTGTCCCGCCTCCCGCAGCTAGGGCCACGGCTGCCGGAGTCGTGCCACCGTCGCGAGAGAGGAACGGGGAGAGAGAGTTGAAGAAAGGGAGATGGGGAGAGAGGAGGAAGAAGGGGGGGCTGAGAATGACATGTGGGACCCACATTGGCCTGCCATTTTTTATATCAATTTCTATGTGAAACTGACATGTGGGTCCCACGAGGTTTATTATTTTCCCGGATTGAATTGCCACGTAAGCGCCATGTCAATGCCACATCAGATGAAGAGCAGGTCAAATTGGCCACGTAGGCGCCACGTCAGCCAAAACCGCCGAGGGACCTCATCTGCACTAGTTTTGATGGCTGAGGGACCCGTTGTATCTGTTTTTCTGGTTGAAGGACAGAAAATCGGATTCGTTGGGACCTCCGATGAACTTATTCCTTCCTTTTACAAATGAGCCATTAGGGCATTTACAATTGTTACTCCCTCCGGGTTGATAATATTAGTTGTTTTGAATAAGGGTAAAGTTAAATTTTAAAATCTTTGACTACAAATAATTTCTAAAATATTTATCTTAAAAATATAAAAACCATATGTGTAGATTAGTCTTAAAAATTACTTCAATAAAACCATATATTTGTTGATATTTCTATATATATTATAATAGAAAATAGTTGTCAAAATTACTTTTTGAAGACCATGCCCTTATCTAAAACGACAAGTATTATCAACCCGGAGGGAGTATATATATTGGCCCATTATCGACACGCAGATCATAGGTTATTGGGCCAAGACAAATCAGAAAACGCGGTGGTGTACGCCATTAACGCCAACACGTCTCAGAAGCGGACCTACCATCGGAGACGATCCACCACAAGACGATCACACGAGCTGCACATTGCCGCACGCGCGTTCACCTCCTCCTGTTCCTGCTCCCGAGCACAAGCGTGAGGTAGAAGAGCGCGCGGAAGAGGAAACCCCACGCGACGGTGACCCAGAGGCAGCTCCACTTGCCGAGCTCCGTCACCGCCTGCCTCGCCAGTATGTCCGGCCCCGTCGTGATGCACGAGCCGCTGTTCAGTTCCAACCCCATGGACCTGCTCATCGCCTCCAGCACCCTCACCTTCGTCTCCACCGGCAGCCTCGCCATCGGCGTCCCGTCGAACATCTGCACCCCGCGCATGAAGCACCTCCCGGCCTCCGCCCCGAACTCGTTCTGCATCACCGCCTCGTACGGGTACTTGATCAGCGACAGGTAGTGCAGCCATATCCAGTAGCTCGGGATGCGGTCGCGGGTGATGAAGAATCCGCTCAGGAGGAGGAAGTAGGCCAGCCCGGCCACCACCACCGTGTACCCGATGATCACGTGGGGGACCACGCCGGAGAGGAACGTGACGAAGCCGCTCCCGGCCCAGAAGGAGGCGAGCACGATGAGGGCGAAGAAGAGGAAACCCCCGGCGCCGCCGGCGAGGCCGACGGCGAAGAAGGTGATGGCCGTGAAGGCGAGGGAGAGCGCGACCAGAGGCGGGAAGGCGACGATGGCGTTGGAGACCGTGTAGGAGGACCGCCTGTAGGCGTTGTGCGCCGTCTCCCGGAGGTAGATGTAGCGCTCCACGAGGAACACCGGGAGCGCGTCGGCGCTGGTGTAGAACATGGTGGACACGGCGATGGCGAAGAAGCCGAACCGCTCGTTCACGCCCTTGGGTGTGTTGTCCAGCCGCCAGAACACGGTGGCAAGGATGAACGCCGTCACCACCACCGTGGCCAGCCGGATCAGGAACAGCTCCGGCGTGCGCCGCGTGTTGGTGAACGCCCGCCGCGCCAGCACCCACACCTCCGCCCACCACGGGTTCGCGTACGTCGCCACTTTGGCCGTGGACGCCGCCGCCGCCGCGGTGCCGTTGTCGCCGGTGCTCGTGGTGGCGCCCGACACCAGCTTGCCACGGGCGATGCTCATTCTGATGGCCTCCTTAAGCGGCAGCGACGGCTTGTCGTGGCGGCCGGTGCATGCCGCCGACGAGACTGCACGGGCCAACGCCTTCTCTCTCCACGCTTTGCTGAACTCCACGAGCTCGTCGGTTCCTTCTGGGATGGCCTCGAGCTGGCGTACGTGGTCGAGCGCGAACTCGACCGGGTTCTGGCCGTCGGGGATCGGGTGGCCGAACTCCGAGAAGAACAGCGGCAAGCTGGCCGGCGGGCCGTAGTACACCGTCCGGCCTCGGGAGAGGAACATGAGACGATCGATGAGGCCGATGATGCGGTAGCTCGGCTGGTGGATGGACATGATCACGACGCTGCCGCTCTTCGCGATGCCCTGCAGCACCTTCACCACCATGAACGCGCTGGTGGAGTCGAGCCCGGAGGTGGGCTCGTCGAGGAACAGGATGATGGGGTCGTGGATGATGTCGATGCCGATGGACACCCGCCGGCGCTCGCCGCCGGACACCCCGCGGCGCCCCTCGTCGCCGATGATGGTGTTCGCCGCGGCGCGCAGGCCGAGCTGGTCGATGAGCTCCTGCACCCGGGTCGCCTTCTTGGACGCGGAGAGCGACCGCGGGAGCCGGAACTCGGCGGAGTACATGAGCGTCTCGGCGACGGTGAGCATCGGGTAGAGGAGGTCGTCCTGCATGACGTACGCCGAGATGACCTTGAGCATGCGGCCGCCGAGGGGCTCCCCGTTGAGCGTGACGGCGCCGCGGAGGCTGTCCCGCTGGATCCGGTCGGCGAGCGCGTCGATCAGCGTGGTCTTGCCGGCGCCGCTCGCGCCGAGCACGGCCATGATCTCCCCCTCCCGCGCCTCCCCGGAGACGCCGTCGAGCAGCAGCGCCCCCTCCCGCGCCCTCGCGCCGCCCCCGCGTGCAGTCGTCGCGTCGGTCTCGACGTGACGGCTCCGCCGCCAAAACGCCATCCTCCTCGGCCGCCCGACGTTGTACGTCAGGTCGTGGAACGCAAGCACGAAATGCACGGGCATGCGACCGACGGGGTCGAGCTCGAGCTTGCCGCCGCCGTCGACGTTGGCCGCCGTTGGCCGCAAGTCGACGACGACGTGCCCGGGCGAGTGCGAGCCGAGCACGACATGCTGGTCAAGGTTGGTGGAGCTAGCGGATCTCCTGTCGGAGCGTTGGTGACCGGGCAGCAGGTCGGCGCGTGGCGCGTCCTCGCCATCCTCCTCGATCGGCAATGTCCTCCGACTGCGAAAGCTACTCGACATGGCTGCACCCGCACCACCACCCTGATCAACGTTCGGTCGTACACTGTCACTAGCTGTAAAAATGTTAGTAACGGTGGAAGCAGAATAATGCAACGTCGCAACGGTGTATCAGAAGTCAGTGGTTCACAAGTCGGGTTTGTGGCTTTGTGATTTGTGTTTAAGTTTGGTCGCGAGTGTACGTGTATATATATGGACGCGATGGGCTGTATTCCGTAAGCCTGTAGTAAATTTAAAAAGTTTTAAATCTTGCCGCCCGAATCGAAATCCGGAGCTCGAACTCGCGCAGTTTAAGCACGCAGTTTAGAGACTTTTGGGCAGTGCACAGGATCGGAGTAAGGACTAAGGACTGAAGCGAGGTAAAGGGGCTTGCGTATCTGACCGACCTTGCATCATACGGTCATTGTTGCGCCGCGCTCTACGTTACTCTACGTTGGTTCAGAAATACAGTAAACAAGTTATTTCTACCTCTCCCCCTCTTGCCTCCATATGCTTGGCGTCATGATGTGGCAAGATGCCATTCAATTTGCATGTGAGAATTCAAGCAACAAACTGTTACTCACTCGCAGGATCTATGACTTGTGTGAAAGCCAATTGTTAAAAGCAGGAGATACCATTCATGCTACGCAAGCTTCACAGCGATGGTTGGTTGGTTGACAGGTTTAGTGACACCATCCAAATTAAACAAACGCTTCATGGCAGAAGTTGTTGATCATGACTGTTTTGCTGGTGGCGGCTAGCTAGTTCGAGATAACATTTATGGCACTGTCTGTTCAATATACAACCCTAATTATTTGAGTGTGTAACTTGATACACAGTCACACCGTTACGTGCACAAATTCATATATTTGCCGTCTGCACATGCTTGAAAATCGTCGAACGGTCGAAAGCACTGAAGTCATGCTAGAGCACGGACACTTACATACCCACGGAAAAATATTAGCTTAATACTCTAAAATTTTGTGTATGCCAGTCTCAAATCTGACTGAAACTCTAACGGACTAGATGCACACCCCCAACTAGCATTTTCTGAATGCTAAAGTTAATCAATTATCTTACATCATCATCTTTTCGCTTATACTTACACTAACTTATCAACTAAAATTTAAATTTTCAATCTTAAATTTTAAGTTGATTTTGGGTTTTTTTTCATGGAAGTGTATTTTTTTAATCTTTGCTTTTATATTGCTAAAAGCACGTATATAAAAGTTTTATTCATAAGTTATTTTTCGTTTGCAAATAAGCCGTCTATATAAGCCAAACGATAGGTCCCGACAACTTTTTTTTTAATTACACAGAACAACGCAGACACTCACAACTCATGCACACTCACTTCTATGAATACACATACGCAAACCCTACCCCTATGAGCATTTTCGAAAACTGAGCCTATGAGCATTTTCGAAAACTGAGCCGGCAAATCCTACAGATTGACAAAGTCATCACAGGCACTTCGCTGTTGATGGGTACGTCGCCTATCACCGAAAACACAAAGCTGTTAAATCCTGAAAAATTTGCTCCCATGAGGAGTCGAACCTAGGACCTAAGGTGCTACTGAGGCTCTTGTAACCACTAGGCTACATGCCCTTTCGTAAGTCCCGACAATTTTTGACCAGCTACAGTGTTATGTCCTCCCAATATTACATTTTTGAAAGCGGCACTTTCTTTAGTTCTGACCAAAGTAACAGAATATACCATGGAGTATATACCTAGAAAATGTTTATGAGACTGACGAAGGTGTATACTGTATGGTGAATAGACAAACTTAACAGTCGTGTTTCACTTTGTTGGCAAAGCAACACGCTTGCACAAAAGTAATTAACTGTGTTCTGCGAGATAGCTAGGTAACAAAATATTGGTGCCTTCATTTTTTAAGTAGTCCCTGTCTCCTGCCATCTTCAAAGCAACTAGTTTAAAGTACAGGAAGGCATCCTTATGTCACTGAAAAGAGGATTGGAAAAAAAAAGTGTACGGACATATGTCAATTGCCATCGTAACGAATGGAAAATTCCCTATCGTCGTGTTTCTGCCGGACCAAAAGGGATACAACAATTAATCAACCATAATCATATCCATCGTTACCGTTGCATTTCTGCACATGGATTTGCTCAACTTGGTCTTGGTCTGTGTTTCTTGGTAACTAACTAATCCTAGCCTAACTTTGATTTTTCCATTTCGTATACTACTAGTTAATTAGGCTAGGCCAGTATACCATTGTACTCGTCGCAGGAGAACCCTCATTCAGAAGACGCGTGCAATGTGAGCTGCATGTGCATATCATTGACGAGATTAATTTGCATCGACCCACCGTGCTCAGCAGCTAGCGAGACCAGCAATGGTCTCTCTCTACTTACCTCAACATAATAAAGTCTGTTTACTTTGTGGATAAGTAGTTATCAGGGGGTCTTGCTTGCCAAATCCCCTGACGATCGAGTTCAATCAGCGAGCAGCTAACACACGCTACTCGATCAATCGAACGTAAGACGGTTTCTGTGCATTCAGCGGGACGAGGCTGTAGTTTGGCAGGTACTTATTAGCAGAATAGCACAAGTAGGTTTCATCAACATTGATACGAAGCAAGAAAGAAACATAACTAGCAGAGTATCAGTTGGCGTAACCGTGTAGGCAGTTGGTGTAAGCAGTCGAGAGTGATTGGAGTGAGGAAATGTCAAGAAAAATGTTGGGCGGTGAAGCCGTTGCAGGCCGCGGCGCCTGCGATGTTCGCCTGTTTTACTGCACCCGCCAGCCAGCAGGGAGTCATGTACCTAACTGAGAGTCTATCCCCTTTTTTTAACAAATTGGTCATTTTCAAAAACTTATTTTGAAACTAGTCCCTGCAAAAAACTTCAACCAAAAATAGACCGTGAACTCAGCGTCATGGACCTTGGCGTTGAGCTATAACGTCTCAATGCCAACGTTATTGGCGCTAAACTCGAATCCGAGGTGGCATAAATTTGCTGAGTTATCAGAGCTTAGTGCTAAGGTATTTGGCGCTAAGGTTTTGATATTTTAATTGCTTCGGAGGCAATCATCTTTAACAACACACTGATAGCATAGTGGTAGTAGGCTTCTACTCTATCCCTATCCCTATGGAGCAGGGTTCGATCCCCCATCTCTACCATTTTTTTTCTTTTTCTTCTCTCTCTCACTCTTTTTTTTTCTTCTTTTTCTTCTCTCTCTCACTCTTTTTTTTTCTTTTTCTTCTTTTTTTCTTCTTTCGATCCCCCATCTCTCCCTTTTTTTTTTCTTTTTCTTCTTTTTCTTCTCTCTCTCACTCTTTACTTTTTTTCCTTTTTTTTTCTTCTTTCGATCCCCCATCTCTCCCATTTTTTTTTCATTTTCTTCTTTTTATTCTCTCTCTCACTCTTTATTTTTTTTCTTTTTTGTTTGTCTCATGATACTATCTTCAAAAGATATGTTTAAATTGCAAATTTTTTGAATTTGGAAAAAATATTAAAGTGGTATATTATGTGGCAATTGAGAACTCAAACTATTTTGTAAAACATATTAATTTTAAAAGAATGCTATGAGGAAGAGAAAAGGAAAAAACCCAAAATACAAAAAAGAAAAAGGAAAAAACCCAAAATACAAAAAAAAAATTCTTTTTCTTCTCTCTCACTCTTTTTTTTCTTCTTTTTCTTCTCTCTCTCACTCTTTTTTTTCTTTTTCTTCTTTTTTTTCTTCTTTCGATCCCCCATCTCTCCCATCTTTTCCCTTTTTCTTCTTTTTCTTCTCTCTCTCACTCTTTACTTTTTTCCTTTTTTTTTCTTCTTTCGATCCCCCATCTCTCCCATTTTTTTCATTTTCTTCTTTTTATTCTCTCTCACTATTTATTTTTTTTCTTTTTTGTTTGTCTCGTGATACTATCTTCAAAAGATATGTTTAAATTGCAAATTTTTTGAATTTGGAAAAAATATTAAAGTGGTATATTATGTGGCAATTGAGAACTTAAACTATTTTGTAAAACATATTAATTTTAAAAGAATGCTATGAGGAAGAGAAAAGGAGAAAAACCAAAATATATATTAATTTTAAAAGAATGCTATGAGGAAGAGAGAAGGAAAAAACCCAAAATACAAAAAAGAAAAAAATAATTTTAAAAGAATGCTATGAGGAAGAGAAAAGGAAAAAAACATTTTAAAAGAATGCTATGAGGAAGAGAAAAGGAAAAAACCCAAAATACAAAAAAGAAAAAATTAATTTTAAAAGAATGCTATGAGGAAGAGAAAAGGAAAAAAAAACATTTTAAAAGAATGATATGAGGAAGAGAAAAGAAAAAAAACATTTTAAAAGAATGCTATGAGGAAGAGAAAAGAAAAAAAAACCTAAAATACGAAAAAAAAACATTCTAAAAGAATGCTACGAGGAAGAGAAAAGAAAAAAAAACCTAAAATAGGTGAGGTGGGATACTAGGATTCGAACCTAGAACCCTCTGGTTCAGAGCTTAAGACATCAACCAATAGGCTATCACTGTTTTGCAACACTAAGATGTTTGCGCTTCTATTTAAATCGTCAGGACCTCAGTGCCAAACGGCTTGATGCTGAGCTACAATGACTCAGCAAATTCATGCCACATCGGATTAGATGTTAGCGCCAACGTAGTTGGCGCTGAGACGTTATAGCTCAGCGCCAGGGTCTATGGCGCTAAGTCAACGGCCTATTTTTGATTGAAGTTTTCTACAGGGACTAGTTTCGAAATAAGTTTTTAAAAAGGACCAATTTGTTAAAAAAAACGGGAGTCTATCTGGGAAGTTTCTAATAGCTGTAGCTTCTCTTACCGCTATAAGCTTCCCTATACAGTCTATAATTTCACTCAGATTCTGACAAGCAATAGTTGTAAAATCCAGAAAATGAGCTAGAAGCCATAAACTGGGTTTCTCAGCTTCTCCAGATTCTCACCAACTGCTTCTCAAAATTTTAAGCTCCCCTAAACAGAACCTGAGTTATGGTTCGAGAGATAGAAGAGCAGTCAAGCACATTGATGGCAGACACCAAGATAGGGGGCTCGACCAGAAACTCTAAATCTTGACGAGACTGTGCAACACTAGAATCAACGTAGCTCGACGAGAAATACAACGGCGTAGAAGGAGTCGGTAGCGGCACTAGAGTTTGATAGTAGCATAACTCAAGGAGGTGGCGACACTATAGGA